CTGCCGCTCTCTGCAGCTGGCAGAGGACAGGAGCCGAGCGGCCGAGCACCTGCACCGGGCTCTCCGCTACCTGCAGAGCCCACAGGAGCCCCTGCGAGAGGCGGCCGTCAGGTTCATGGGTGAGTCCCGAGCCCGGGCTCCCTCCCCGACCCGCCGCAGCTCGGCCCCGGCCCTGCCTGCTGCCCCGGCAGCGCCAGCCCAACCCGGCGCCGTGGAGCCCCGCCTGGCCTGGGCATTGCTGGTGCCGCCCTCTGGCAGCCATGCCCTGGGGCGGCAGCGTGCAGCAAGGGCCCGGGCTGAGCCCTGCCGGGCCAGCAGCCCGTGTGGCCACAGTGCCGGTATCGCCACTGGCAGGGAGCTGTACCGCTGGGGCCGTGACAGGCTCTGTGTTCACAGGCATGGCGGGGCGGCACCTGAGAGGGCAGCAGCAAGAGCTCCAGCTGATCTGCAGTGGTGAGTGAGTGAGGGCAGCAGGCTGACAGCGGGGGCTGGCGGGGGCAGCTGCAAGCCCTGCTCCGGCTGCGGAGGGCTCTGCTCCCGTGAGATTTCAGGGCCACGTGTGCCATTCATGGCCAGCACCTTTGGGCTGATCCCCTTGCTCTCCGCTCCCTGCGGGCCATGGCAAGAGCCGACCGGGATGGCCCTGGCAGGGGGATCTCCTCGGCTCCCTGCACATGCGGCATCTGACCTTGCCTCTGTTCCTCTGTCTTGCAGCCCTTGAAGAAATGGCCTATGACAGCAGTCCTGCAATCAGAGATGCTGCAGTTGAATCTTGTTTAGTGCTCCGGGCCGTACAGAGAGCTCCCTACTCCCCATGGCGTAAGCTGCGAGATCAATTCCGCAGTGCATGGAGGAAAAGGCCTCGTCTGTGCGGCACTGCCTTGCTGTTCTGCTGGAGCTCCCCGGAGAGGTGATCTGCAAGACTGTCTGCTGGGGCCATTTGAGCCAGCAGAAATTTTCTTTTTGTTCTTAAAGATTTTTGTATTTTTATTTTTGTTGGGTTTGAGTATGTCAATACAGAATATCTTTCAATACACAGAGTCCCAGGATCTTTCTTTTCCTGCACCGGGTCTAGAAGGCATAGGGGAAGAGGGGGAAAAGGGTGCTTGTGCTCAGCCAGCTGCCCAGGTGTGCAGTGTTGCAGGGAAAATAGCCAGAAGCCCCTTGGCCTTTGGTGGTAATGCTGAAGCCTTTGTGCCGGCCACAGAGCGGCTGGGCAGGGGCCAGAGCTGCAGGGATCCCTGCCAGAGCGGTGCCTGGAGATGCCCACAGGCCCTGTGCCAGGCGGGAAGGGCCATCGTGTTCTCCTGCCCCGGTGCTGCTGGCTGCCTTGCTGAGGGCTCCCAGGCGCCTCTGGATGGGGCTCCTCTGGAGCTGCTGTGGGGCTGTCGTGCTGCTGCCGGGAAGCTTGGCCAGGCTGGGGGCGACCCTGAGGGGCTGAGGCACTACTAAGCCTTGAGCAATTGGCTGTCAGAGGCCATAAGCAGCCCCCTGGCAGCCGCCTTGATCCTGACAGCCGGCTGCTCTGGCGCTTCCAGGCCAGTGGCCCATTGGAGGGACCCCCTGGAATCAGGCGTGGAACCCTGGTCCTGACCTTTCAGGGCTGTGAGGCCAGCTGTTGTGGGGCTGGGCATGTGCCCTCCTGTGGAGACTTTTTTCAAAGAGTGGCTTGAGGAGAGAGGACACAGGTGAAGTAATTTGGTAAAGATGTCCTAAGTAGGGCAGAGGCCTTTTTGCAGGCAGGGTGTCTGTTGAGAATGTAGCAGACTAGAGAATGGAAAAGTACAAAGCTGTGGCTAATTCCAAGTCCTGCACCTGCTAGATAGTGTGTCCTTGGGCCTAGCTGTAGTAGGATAACAAATAGTGAAAGAGACATGAGAAAAGAGAGATGTAATCCCTAAGGAATGAGGAAGAGTTAATGGTATAGTTTAACCAATAGATTGCTTGGCTTACAGAATATTGATAAGCTTATTATTTGCTGTATAAGTGTTTGATGCTTTCTTTAATAAACTGGACCTGTGATTAACCAGCTGGTGTCCTGGTCCCCTTCCTACGAAAAGTGGTTGACCCTGAACATTGACCCCTCGTCTCGACCTAAAAAAAAAAAGGGGGAGAACGCGCCACGGTCGAGGAAGTTGGAGTTGGGTCCTGAGAAGCCAGGATGGTGCCGGAATTTTGAAGCACCCTTGGGTTCACATCGGTGACTCGAGCCATACGTGTCTGCCGGAGCCTGGAAAGCTGCAAAGAGCGCTCACGAAATAGGTATGAAAAGGCAAGCAGCACATAATTCATTCGCCGCGTATCTAGAATGGCGACGGTAAAGGGGATAGATTTGTTATTAGCCCACGGATACGCTAAAGAAGTTTTCATTAACCCTCATACGGTCCATGAACTCTCGGAATGGAGAAAATTTGGGGATATACTATGGGAAGCAGTGTTAGAAGATTATAAGACAGCGAAGAAACTGAGCAAGCCATGGCGGGTGATAGACAATACACTGCTTCAGTATGTCTCTGGGTGCAAAGCAGCATCTGCGGCTCGGGGCGCCTGCAGGGCTGTAATGCTCTGAACTCGGCATGGGCACAGCAGCGGTAGCAGCGGCAGCGGCGGGGCAAGCGGAGCTGCCACGGGGGGAGCGACCCGTGCGGCCGTGGGTGCAGCGCACGCAGTGATTCAGCCTCCCAGCGAGTTTCGCGGAACAAAGAGCCCAGCATGGGGGGGTTTGCCCCGCTCCGACACAAGCGCCGCAGGACCAGAGCGCTTTTCCAGCGCCAGCATTTCTCCCTCCACCTCGCAGCCGGCAAAAGCTTCAGCTTTAGACCTAACAGCCGTAATAAATGGGACTCTGGTCAACAAAAGATCCCTACTGCAATTAAGAAACCAGTGATAATAAACAAGCGACACCAAGGACCATTACTATCAAGACGTTTCTCACCTAAGTTAAAAGGACTTTTTGTTCTTCCTAGCAGAGACTGTAAAAGAAACTTTAAATATCAGAAGTCCAAATAACTCAGTCAGTGAAACATCAGACTCTAAAATTATATTTTGAAAAATTTAAAAATGTTAAAGATGTGTTAAAAAGATTGTGTAAGTAAGATGTAATGAGTATGCTTTTTGTATTTTTAGATTTGTTTAGATGTGATAGATGTAAAAGCAAGCACTGAATTCAAAAGAATTTTTCCACAGGTATACCTTGAATAAACTCCTTATGTTTAAGTGCATTCAAGTATAAAAATGCTGCAGCAAACACGTGAAGAAAGTTGTTTTAGCTTAGTATTTTAGAATCAGGCCTGTAAGTAAGTTATAGTAAATGCTATATTCTATTTCTATAGTAAGTTTTATTTGTTACTAAGTAGTTTAAGTTAAATTATCTATTAAGTGCCGTTAAATGTTAAATACTGTTAAGGTTTAGTTTTGTTAAGTTTAAATGTTTTAAGTTTAAGTATTTTAAGTCTAGGTACTATTAAGTTTAAGTGAGGTTAGATGGATTTATGCTTTTATGATAGACGTTTATTTTATGACTTGTGTGCAAAGTGTTGTTGTGAACATCAGAGAAACTTTAGTTAAAAAGGACAATCAGAAGCATTTGTGAGTAGAGCCGTTCCTGTTTGAAGTATATCTGCTGTTTGAAAATAGAAAGCAAACTTACCAGACAATCAATGCAGGTGAAACCTGCGTACATGTTACTCCTTTAGCTTAATTTTGTAAGTTGTATTAGCACATCTGAGTTTTGTTTGAGCCTTGTAGCACATAAAATCCTTTTTGTATCTGTCATATAGCATATCAATAGTGATAGCCTTTTCAGTTTGTTTTCCTGGCTTAGATCCCTTATAACAGAGAAACCTTGCTAGCTGAGAATACTGTTTAGTTGTTAGAATTACCTATTTTTGTGTTGCAAAGAGTGTGACACAGTTAGCCCATAGAATTTTGCTTTTCATAAAAAATAAAAACAGGAGAAGTGTTGGGAAATTTAGGTGACTAGAGACTAGAAAAATACAAAGCCATGGCTAATTCCAAGTTTTGCACCTGCTAGACAGTGTGTCCTTGGGCCTAGCTGTAGTAGGATAACAAATAGTGAAAGAGACATGAGAAAAGAGAGATGTAACCCCTAAGGAATGAGGAAGAGTTAATGGTATAGTTTAACCAATAGATTGCTTGGCTTACAGAATATTGATAAGCTTATTATTTGCTGTATAAGTGTTTGATGCTTTCTTCAATAAACTGGACCTGTGATGAACCAGCTGGTGTCCTGGTCCCCTTCCTACGACACCTGCTCTAGGGGGAGGTGTCCCTGCCCAGAGGCCTTTAAGGTCCATTCCATCCTTAACATACTCTGGTTCTATGCTTTCCTTCCCATGCACTTAGGGGAGCTTTGAAATCCGTTCAGTGAAGGCACAGAGCTCATTAAGAGTTTGGCAATTCCCAAACTCCCTGGCCCAGGAGCACAGGACTTTGTTGCCCAAGTGCTCCCCTTGTGACACTCAGCACTGTGTTCTATTGCCACAGACAGAGCTGCAAGGGGTCAATTCCCACAAAGGGAGAGAGGCTGGTGCTGGCCAAGGCTGCTCCTTCTACCCACACCCTGGGTTCAGGGAGGCTCGGCCACCTCTGCTCTGCTGTTGTCTGGGCACTGGGAGGTGATCCAGGCTCAGGGAGCCCATTTCCAACTCAGCTCCTACCACCTGATGATGGATCCATGGCAAATGGAGCCATCCTGGAGGCCAGGGGCCTGCAGGGGCTGAGTGCTTGTTCACTAAAACTGTTCTGCTCAGCAGCTCTCTGGCCTTTGAGGGAATGCTGGCAAAGCCATGGCATGAAAACCTCTCCCTGCACTGCCTGGGCTGTTCTGGGATCACTCAGGCACACACAGCATTCTGAGCCCTGGCCTGGCACGGGAGACTCCCTGGGAGCTGCAGGGCCAGGGGGGATGCGCCAGCACTGCCCTGCTGACCAGGGACTCTTCCCAGCACTTCCATGGGAGCCCAGTGGGCTCAGGCTGGCACCATGGCTTCACTGAGGGGGAGAGAGGCAGGGCAAAGGAGCTGCACCTGAGATGCTGCAGTAAGCCACACTTCCATACTCCAGTGCTTCCAGGGGTTTGAAGGTCACCTTGATTTCAGCTGAACAATTCGGCCCAATTTCTCCCTCCTACAGCAGAAAGAGACAGCAAAACATTGCTCTGCAAACTTCACATTGCTTGTTTTCAACCACGCTTCTGTAAGCCTTTGTTCAGAGGCATACAGAGGCTTGTTCATTAGTAATGAGTGAACAACACAAGGAGCCAAGGAAACACTCCAAACACAGCTCAACACAGCGCTGGAAGCTCTCAACGCTCAGCTGTTCAGCTCCCACTCTCCACAATATTCCTGCTGCTCTGACAAAGGCTCTTGGTCACATCATGCTGCTGTCAGCTACAGTGGGATGCAACTGCCACTGTGCACTCGTGGCTCTTCACAAGAAGAGAACATGATCCCTGTCCTGGGTTGACTATATGATGCTTTTATCCCAAATCGTCTTGTTCTGTTTATGCTGAATAATAAGTTTTGCACCTTTAAGACGTCTTCCAGAGAGTGAAGAGGGGAGAGAAGAAGCAGCAGTTTGTTATCAGACACTGCACTCACTCCTCCACATTCCTGCTCCTGGAATGCATTGTCTGCAGATGGACAGACAGCCGGGACAGAGCCCTCCTTTGCTTTTAGTTAATTTAGCTAGCTGAGGCAAAGAAGTTCCCTGGACTGTGGGGTTTTTTCCCTTTTCTTTGGACCTCTTGAAACCCGCTCTGGACTGAACACCAGAAGAGCACCAGCAGCTGCACCTGTGGCCACCGGGCCAGGCCTGGCCTGCGACATTTCCAGCACCAGAGGGACTGATCAGAGACTGAGTGAGCTGAGCTGCAACCTGGAGAGGGACTTTCTCAGTTTGTCATCTCTTTTGGAGCAGCAAGGGGTTTTATTGATTAATACTGTTTTGGGTTTATCGTTTAATAAATAGGTTTTTTCCACTTCAAGGAGGTCTTTTCTCCAGGACCGCCTGGGGGTAGCGGCCGATTGAATCTGCTTTCCTAGAGGAGCCCCTTTGGGGGCTCTCTCCCAAATTTGCCCAGAACCAGAACCTTGGAAATAAAAAATATTAGTTTAACCTGTTTTGAAAGAAAGCAGAGGCTGGCATTATTCTAGGGTTTATCCAAGATGAGAAGGGATGTTGCACTGTGCAGACACCAGGCATTCATCATCTCTCACAATGCCAGTATTCAGAATCAAGGCTCTGGTTGATGGGAGCACGTGGCAGTTTGCTTGCATCACCAGAAAAGGAAAAGGTTTTCTGTCCCTGTGTGCAGGACAACTCCAAAGGCCCATTTCAACCTTCCACCATTGTGTCCAGGCTCACAGAGGACACTGGAAGGGACACTCAGAAATAGTGCAAGGCGTGGTTACAGGAGGGGATTGGCATTTCCATGATTAGCCTTAGGCTGAATTTGGCCTCACTTTCCCAGCAAACCATTGCAAGTTTCAGGTCAGAATGTGGCCTGGCAGTGCTCCAACAGCCTCTGCTGAACCTCAAGTGTGGGGGGAGCCCCTACCTACAAGAACTGCTCCCTGTGACACTGCAGGGACATGCACAGAGTGCCCTTGAGCTCAGGCCCTGGCAGCACAGCTTGGCCTTGTCCAGCTCCCAGCCCTGCCTTGAGCCTCCAAGGCAGAAATGCTTTTAGCATTTGGCATTTTTAGGCGAGCTCTGCAGATGCACCAGAAACTCAATGTCTTCCCTCCCAGCACACCGAGCCAGCTGAGGATCTGCCCAGTGACCGCAGCCAGGGGTAGAGTGGGTGGGAGGAGGAAGAGGGGGAGGAGGATGAGGAGGAAGAAGAGGAGGAAAATGAGGTCTCAGCTATCACTTACCATTGGCTCAATGACAAAAATGTCATCGGAGAACAGCATGGGGTCTTGGTGCAGCTTTGCCATCTCCCCTGGGAGCCTCAGGAAGGCAGTGCGATCTTCACCAGAGCCCTTCTCCTTCCCTGTTTCTTTCCCCTCCATTAACTTTTCCAGCCACAGCTCTCTCCGTGTCCGCAGGAATCGACGCTGCCTGTAGCCACAGGAGAGACAAAGCCAGCAGAGGGTTTAATAAGCCACAGATTGGCAGAGAGAAGTGTGAGTGCAGGAGAGCAAAGCACCTGGGGAGGAGCAGCAGTGTGAGAGATGAGTAATGCGATGATTTATCAAAAAGCAGGGTGCCCCATTGCAGGGAATGATTGGCAGCTGACTCCATTGATTCACAATGCTGAACAGTTGCTTTATTAAACTATATTATATTACATTGTACTACACTATATTAAAGATGCATACTATACTACAAAGAATACTAAAGAATGCTAAAGAAAACTCGTGACTGTCTCCAGACAGCCAGGACAAAGCTTTTTCCAATTGGCCAAGGAAACAAAACAATCCTCAGCAGAATCCAACTGACAAATCACTTCAGGTAAATAATCTTCCTAACACATTCCACATGATAGAGATAAGAATTGTTTTCTTTCTTTTCTCTGTGCTTCCCTAGGAAAAAAAACCTTGAGAGAGAATTATGTGTTTCTGTTCAGAGAATGTGAATGCCACAATGATTGACTCTCACAATTAACAGACAAATACCATGTATAGAGGTTAAGAAAAATTTTTTTACTCCCTCAGTTGTTATCAAGGGACAGCCGGGGTTGGGATATTTGGGAGGGTCACCTTGTCACTACAGGGACATCTGACCTCCAATCAAGATTTGAGGAAGTAAACTCCACCACTGGACAGTGAAGAAGGGGTCAATGGACAGAATTTTGGGAGGAGCTAAAGGGTTAAAATGCAAAACCTCCATTGTGCGGGTGAGCACATGGTGGGGAAAATACTTTGCTCCTGGCGTAACATTTTCTCCATTCAGTCTTCTCTTGTATTTTTTATAAGGTTGAATAAACCTTTCTAAACTTATGAAAAGGGAGTGGCTATTTCTCCCAAGCAGCAGCTCCCCAGCAAGGGCTGACCCCCAGCCATGGGGGCACCAGATGGATCAGAGGATAACTTGTTGTTCACTGCCCTGCAGGGAGTTTCACTCAACACCTGCAAGCTCAGGAGAGGTTTCCACAGCCAGCAGCCCTCAAGAGAACCTCCTGGCTCAAAGCCTCTGCCAAAAAACTGAGGGAGAATCCACCAGCCACTTCAAGTGCCTTTTCCTACCACTGAGCTCCTGGGGAGGCAGATAAAGGTCATGGAGCAGGACTTCCCTGGGAAGGGGAGACGAAGCTGGGTCACAGCTACGTGCTACCAGTACTGTGAAAAATGCACATTATATGATTGGCTTTTTGCATATATGAAAATAAAACATTGGTCTGTTCTATTTCAGTCTCTATGCAATATTGCACAGGGAAATGTAAGATAACAACAATTAGAAATCAATCAGATAATACACATAACCAATAACACATCTGCAATCACACAATTATCAGTCACTACAACACTGAACTGTCATCCCAGAGTCTGCGACAGCTGATGAACCTTAAAACAACAGAGAGCTGGAGAACTCATGTCCGGATTCATGTTTCTCCAAACTCCCTTTGAAAACAGGCTCAGCTATCATATATGGTCAAATTGCCAAGCCAAAAGGACTTGAATACTTTTTGATGCAGAAAACATCTGGGCTTGTCAATCATTCCATTCAAGTAGAGCTAGAACTTGGCCAGAGTTCCAAATCTAATTGATGGACATCACTTAATACATTTTAAAACAAGACTCTTAAAAACAGCAATTATGAATAGGAAACCTTAGGATTAAAGATCAGTCAAACCATTAAAGAACTGAATCCCTCCAAAACTTCTGTCAGGATAGAAATTCTTCAAACACAGCACACCTCTTGAATTCTCAGCTGAAGTACTCTATAATAACTGAAGAAATAATAACTGAAGGAAACCACGAAACTGGCAATCTGGATTTAAAGGAAACTTAAAAAACATGAGTAGTTAAAAAACAAAAAGACAAGATTCTGAAGAGACCCATGTCTTGTAGATGATCACACAAAGAGACAGTGAAACACATGAAAGCTGGCTGTAAATATTACAATACCTTGATAATAATTCTTATTATAAATTCTGAGAATTCTCATTATATAATCAACTTATCAACAGGAAGTGTTTGAAGGGGTTATGACAACTTTTTTTAAGTATTCATATAGCATTAATAACAATCCTTATTTATCAGTATCACCTATAAAATCCAAAAAGAACAAAGGTTACAAACTCAATACCAACAAACCTCTGAATCATTGGAGAATCAGCTGGTGACCCCACAGATAGGATCTGATCGATATTTCTCAAATGCTCTGTCTTCAGAGACATTTCATGTAATTGAATCATTACTAATACTTCTATCTTTCTATGATGGTTTCCCTCCCTGAGAGGCATTTTTCACAATAGAAGATTTTGATTTACATCATATTTGGAATACCACTGATTGGCACTGGTTTCCCCTTTTTCCTGTATCTTGGGCAAAAGCCTGTGTGCTTTCTCACTTTACTCTGATTTTGGACAGGTTTTTTACATGTCCATCTTTTGCATCTGAAGCCTGATCATCTGGTAAATGCTGTTTCCGTCACTTCTGTGGGACCGGGCTGTTGAGGAGTTCGGTGCGCCTCCCACAACATGCGCTGCACCCGCGAAAAATCTCCCGCTTGAGATTTTGATGGAGGCTGAAACTGTGTGCCGGCTGCCGGGGCTGGCTGCGTGCCCGCTGCCGCGGGACCGGAGCAGGGCTGGTCCCTCGGGCACCCTCTGCACCCAGACCGCGCCCGGTCTCTGCCGGTGCCCTCACGGGAGTGCGGATGCCCCCGCCCCGACCGCGCCTCCCCGGCGCTTCTCTCGGCGCAGGCGCGGTCTGGGGAACGCCGCCTGTGCCCGTGACCGACACCGGCGCTGCCCCCGTCCCGTTCTGGCTCCGGTCACCGCTCGGCCGTGTCTCTGCCGCGTCTGCGCACAGGGGAAACACCCGCCCCGCTCCGGCTGCCGGGTTTGTGCGTCATCACCGAGCGCCTGCCGCGCTCCGCGGCGGTGGCAGGGACGCTGCAGCCGTCCCGTCCCGTCCGCCTCAGTCCCGCCCGGCGCGGCTGCCGCGGCCCGTGCGCGTTCCCCGGGTGCCGCCGCCCGCCGCCATCGCAGTCGCGCGGGTTGTGCCCTTCCCGCGCGGCTTTGGCCCCCCGCTGCGGGAAACCGCCGCCGCCGCCATCGCGCATGCGCCCGCCGCCGCCAGCCCTGCGCCTCCCGCTCCTGCGCTCCGCCCGGCCCGGCCCCGCTCGGCGCTGCCCCCGCAGCCGCCGGCCGTGCCCCGCACGCTGCCGACCGCCCGCTGCTGCGATCGCGGGCACCGCCGTGCGCGCTATCGCCTCCGCCGCTGCTGTGCCTGCGACTGCCCCGCTGCCCCCGTGGGCCTCCGCCGGCCTCCGCAGCCCCCACGGCCGCCTCTGCGGCCCCCCCGGGCTGCTCCCGGCCGGCGCCGCCGTGGCACGGGTTCGCCAGTCGCCGAGAAGCGGCTCTGCCCCGGCTTCCCCGACCCTCTTCGCCCTCCTCCCCCTGAGAGTTCTGAGGTTTCTGGGGACCCATGGGACCCTGGGCACTCTGGAGATGATGCCAATTCCTCCCACACCTGTTTGCTAGGGATTACCTTTGCCCCTCCCTGGTCGGTAAGGGCAACTGCTGCCTGCTGATGGCAGGATGATTTCCCTTCCCCCATCCTCGAGAGAATACTGCTGCCTGCTGATAGCTGGCAGCCCCCGCGGAATTCCACGAAATTGCCTCTAACATTACCCTTGCTGGGGATAAAAGCTTCAAGGCCGTTTTATCTTTTTTCAGATATTTTCACAGGGTGTGTGGCTGCCACGCCCTGTACGGCTGACAAGATGCTGGGTTGTTCCTGGGAGCATGTCCCCATCATGTTCTCAATTTTGACCTTTCTTACAAAGGCTGGATCCTCTGCAAGGTCAGTCCGGAGTTTGCCCTGGTCACTGTCCAGCAGCTCGCAGGTGAGGGTTTCCAGGGGCGCTTCTGGCCCTCCTCTTTCTGGGTCGAGCTTGAAACGAATCTTCTCAGCAGAGGTTGAGATGTTCTTTCTGGATTTTTCCCTTGAGAGTGCCAGTTTTCTTTCCTTCTCAGGCTGGGTTTCAGCAGCTGATGGCTGTGGCGTGGCTGCTTGCCAACTGCCCACCTGGGTGCCCTCTTGGAGCACCCACCAGGGCTGCCAATGTCTCAGTGTCTCGCTCAGAGTGACCCCAAGAAAAGTTCAAAGTCTCTTTTCCCAGCCCGGCGCTTGAAGAAGGAGTCAGGGCTCTTCATTTCTCAGTCTCAAGGTTGTTTATTTTATCTTATCTATAAAAAATTTTCTCCTGCCCTGCCAAGGTCAGCTCAGCAGGACAGGTCCAGGCACTCTGCCTGCCCCCAGGGTGGTGTTATGTCTTTATACTACAAACTACGTATACAATGTTTACAATTACTTTCCAATACCTATCACCTATGTTAGACAGTGAGCTTCTACTCTAAACCAATCGGTAAGTGCCAACATCACAGCAGAAGATGGAGGCCAAGAAGAAGAAGGAGAAAGGCTGGACACACCCAGTTCCCTCCATCTTGCTTCTTGAACCCCCACACCAAAAACCCCAAAATCTACTTTCCCACCCCATGATAACTTCACTATTATTCTACCTAAACTGTTGTGGCTTGCTGATCTTCATATAAGGTTGGTAATTTGCTCCACGGGTCATAATCAAAACCGCAGGGGCATTCTGGGCTCCGTGCCAGGGCTTCTGAGCCCCCTGGCAGGGGTCCTGGCCATCCTGGACTGCCAGAGAGATGTTCTGGGTTCCCACAGGTCTCTTCTTAGGTCTTCTGCAGGTTGGTTTTTTGTTTCCTCTGCTTCTGCTTGTGCTGGGAAAAACCCCGTGCAGGGACATCTCTGCACCCTGGCATCCTGGGCATCTGCATAGGGATGGGGAATGTAACAAAGGACTGGCTGGAGGCCTTTGGAAATGGGAATTTATGGACAGGTGGGATTGCTCAATCTGACTGCACCAGGCCGTCACCCCTGGATCTCCTTCCTGCTTGGCAGGGTTCAGTTTCCAAGTAGTGTGGGCAAGGACTGGCACTCACCTGCACAGAAAGGCTTCTGGCTTTTGTCCCTGTAGCTAAGCCCAGGGTGAGATTCCTCCTTTAGTGCTGAAAGAAAGGAAAGGAAATCCCAGAAGGGATGTGCTGTGTCTTTGAAACTGTGACCAACTGTGAGGAACACCCCTGCTAGAGTAGAACATGTCCCAGTCCAAAGCCCTTCTGCTGGGCTCTGGAAGGGGTTCTGCAGGCAACGTGCTCTGGGGAGAGATCTCCACTGACCTCACTTCTCCCAGGGATAACACATCTCACCCCATCCCAAGGGTTCCCAGGATGGCCACAGACACAAGCAATGGGATCCAGCACACTTACTCAGCTCTTTGAATAGCGCTTCTACACCTTTCTGAGCCAGACAGCCAGCAGCCACAGACACTGGACATCAGGTGCACATGAAAATAAAATCAAAGGATATTTAACAAGGACCTTTCCCCAGGGAACTCCAGAACTGCACTGAGCAGGTTCTGGGGCAGAACACATCCCACAGCTGGCCCAGGAGCCCCACAGCAGTGCTGGGGGGTTCCTGACCCTCGGGCCCACTGAGGCTCTCCTGGGCCAGGGAGCTGCCTCAGCTGGCACAGCACTCAGGCACCACACAGGTGCCCCAGTCCCACCAGAGCACAGCCACCCACGAGAGGGTGAGACTCTTCTGCCTCCCACTCTGAGAGTGGAGAGGAACCTCCCAGGTCCCTTCTCTGTCCCTTGGCACATTCAGAGCCTGACCCTCAAAGCCCTGCTCAGCAATACCCCCTGCTAGAGTAGGACGTGTCTCTGGTCAAAGGAGGTCACCCCTCTGACCAAACTGATCCCAGCCCAAAGGCCAGGCTTTCTGCTGAGCTCTGGAATGGGTTCTGCAGGCAACGTGCTCCGGGGAGAGATTTCCACTGGCCTCACTTCTCTCAGGGATAACACATCCCATCCCATCCCATCCCAAGGGTTCCCAGGATGGCCACAGACACAAGCAATGGGATCCAGCACACTTACAGGTTTTGCAGAGTATCTTTTCTGCACCTTTCAGAGGAAGATCATCATCATCCTTAGATACTGGACATCAGGTACACACGAAAATGAAATGAAAAAGAAAACCAGGATATTTAACAAGGACCTTTCCCCAGGGAACTCTAGGACTGCACTGAGCAAGTTCTGGGACAGAACACATCCCACAGCTGGCCCAGGAGCCCCACAGCAGTGCTGGGGGGGTTCCTGACCCTCGGGCCCACTGAGGCTCTCCTGGGCCAGGGAGCTGCCTCAGCTGGCACAGCACTCAGGCACCACACAGGTGCCCCAGTCCCACCAGAGCACAGCCACCCACGAGAGGGTGAGACTCTTCTGCCTCCCACTCTGAGAGTGGAGAGGAACCTCCCAGGTCCCTTCTCTGTCCCTTGGCACATTCATTTCAGCCTGACCCTCAAAGCCCTGCTCAGCAACACCCCCTGCTAGAGTAGGACATGTCTGTCACCCTGTTTTGTTAAGATTTTCTAAGCCTTCTGACGTTGACATTCTTGTACCGAGCTTTCTCACACACTTGCTGTAAATAACTCATTGTTTTGCATTCCTTTATAGAAAAGCGAAAGTTGAGAGACTGTTGGTTTGTCCAGTGTCATTGGAGAGGTGGTACTGTCATCCTCCAATCCACTGTCACTCTTGGAAAACTATAAATGCTGGAGTCAGAAAATAAACTTCCCTTTTTCTTCACATTAAGAACAGTGGTGTCCGCCTGTGTTCTTTCGTGTCCTACAGGTACATGTGTCTCTGGTCAAAGGAGGTCACCCCTCTGATGAAACTGATCTCACCCCAAAGGCCAGGCCTTCTGCTGTACTCCGGAAGGGCCTCTGCAGGCAATGTGCTCCGGGGAGAGATCTCCATTGGCCTCACTTCTCCCACGGATAACACATCCCATCCCATCCCATCCCAAGGGTTCCCAGGATGGCCACAGACACAAGCAATGGGATCCAGCACACTTACTCAGTTCTTCGAATATCATTTCTACACCTTTCTGAGCCAGACCGCCAGCAGCCACAGACACTGGACATCAGGTGCACATGAAAATAAAATCAAAGACAGGATATTTAACAAGGACCTTTCCCCAGGGAACTCCAGGACTGCACTGAGCAGGTTCTGGGGCAGAACACATCCCACAGCTGGCCCAGGAGCCCCACAGCAGTGCTGGGGGGTTCCTGACCCTCGGGCCCACTGAGGCTCTCCTGGGCCAGGGAGCTGCCTCAGCTGGCACAGCACTCAGGCACCACACAGGTGCCCCAGTCCCACCAGAGCACAGCCACCCACGAGAGGGTGAGACTCTTCTGCCTCCCACTCTGAGAGTGGAGAGGAACCTCCCAGGTCCCTTCTCTGTCCCTTGGCACATTCATTTCAGCCTGACCCTCAAAGCCCTGCTCAGCAACACCCCCTGCTAGAGTGGGATGTGTCTCTGGTCAAAGGAGGTCACCCCTCTGACCAAACTGATCCCAGCCCAAAGGCCAGGCCTTCTGCTGGGCTCTGGAAGGGGTTCTGCAGGCAACGTGCTCCGGGGAGAGATTTCCACTGGCCTCACCTCTCTCAGGGATAACACATCCCATCCCATCCCATCCCATCCCATCCCATCCCAAGGGTTCCCAGGATGGCCACAGACACAAGCAATGGGATCCAGCACACTTACAGGTTTTGCAGAGTATCTTTTCTGCACCTTTCAGAGGAAGATCATCATCATCATCATCAGATGCTGGACATCAGGTACACATGAAAATAAAATGAAAAAGAAAACAGGACATTTAAGAAGGACCTTTCCCCATGGAATTCCAGGACTGCACCGGGCAGGTTCTGGGGCAGAACACATCCCACAGCTGGCCCAGGAGCCTGCAGGATGGCCACAGACAAGAGCAATGGGATCCAGCACACTTACTGATTGCGCCACATAGCGCTTCTACACCTTTCTGAGCCAGACAGCCAGCAGCCACAGACACTGGACATCAGGTGCACATGAAAATAAAATCAAAGACAGGATATTTAACAAGGACCTTTCGCCAGGGAACTCCAGAACTGCACTGAGCAGGTTCTGGGGCAGAACACATCCCACAGCTGGCCCAGGAGCCCCACAGCAGTGCTGGGGGTCCCTGACCCTCGGGCCCACTGAGGCTCTCCTGGGCCAGGGAGCTGCCTCAGCTGGCACAGCACTCAGGCACTACACAGGTGCCCCAGTCCCACCAGAGCACAGCCACCCACGAGAGGGTGAGACTCTTCTGCCTCTCACTCTGAGAGTGGAGAGGAACCTCCCAGGTCCCTTCTCTGTCCCTTGGCACATTCATTTCAGCCTGACCCTCAAAGCCCTGCTCAGCAACACCCCCTGCTAGAGTGGGATGTGTCTCTGGTCAAAGGAGGTCACCCCTCTGACCAAACTGATCCCAGCCCAAAGGCCAGGCCTTCTGCTGGGCTCTGGAAGAGGTTCTGCAGGCAACGTGCTCTGGGGAGAGATTTCCACTGGCCTCACTTCTCTCAGGGATAACACATCCCATCCCATCCCATCACAAGGATGGGCACAGGCAATGGGCAATGGGATCCATGAGTCCACACTTACTTATGGACTCAAATTGGCCTCCTTGGTCATGCTGCCATGAACTCCCCTTTTTTGTGGCCATTAGGTTCACCTGAAAAGAAAAAGGAAAATGAAAAAGAGGAAGCTTCACTATGATATTTCCCCTTAGGTTTAAAAAAAATGCATTTAAGAGCTTTTTTGTGACACAGATATCCCTCATACTACTCAAACGGCTGATCTACTGAGGGTTTTTTAATTTACTGATTTTCCCTTCCATCACTGTCCAAACAGAATACAGCTCTTTCCAAGATATTCAGTCCTTGCTTCTGGTCTCCTGTATCATTTTCTCTAGGTTCACTCTGCAATGCAAGGGAAAAGAGGGGCAAAATCTCTGTGGTGAGCGAAATCTCAGCACTAGAGAAGATAAGGCAGTTGATAAGATGTTCTGTTGCACTCCCAGCTGGTCCCTAACCCATCTTGTCTGCCCTGGAGCTCTGAGAATTCTCACAGACACACACTTCATCTTCCTTGGTAAAAATTAAGACCTTCTGCTTTTGCAGAGTGCAGAACCTGGTGTTCAACCCCAGTCATATTTTCCACAGAGGTAAGGGACCATTTTCCATTCCTTCAGACTCAAATCCTGGAGGTTATCCTGACCAGCTATGAAGAAATCTATGGTGAAAGGACATGTGACCTTGGCTGGTGTCGATGCAGGAGGTGTCCCGACCAGAGAGTAATTACCACTGATTCCATGATGCAGAAGGCATGAAAGACACTTTATTATTCGTGTATAGTATTAAGAAATATACAGTTCCTATAGGAACAGTAGTGGACCTAAGACCTGATTGGTCTTAAGGTGAAAACCTCTCACACTATTTATGCACTATGAATAGTACACTCTAGCAAACCATTTTTATAAACAATGGTTATAGAAAGAGCGGTAATAATTGTTTGATTTTTTTTTTCTAGGATTGTTAGGTTCAGTTTGTGAGAAATTGTCTCTGTTCATTCTTTGACTGAACTGAGAATATTTGCAGGCTGGCTGCCAAATGCCCATCAAACTTCTCTCACTCCTCCTCCTCAACTGGATAGGAGAAAAAAATACAACTGAAGAGCTCACATAAAGCCTGGGACATCCCTCTCCAGCTGCCACCATGGGCAAACCAGACTTGACTTAGGGACGATTGCTTTGCTTTCTCAGCAATTCCCAATACAGCAGCAAGCCGGGTAACAAAGACAAATCTGCAACCACCTCGCTCCCACTCTCCCCTCTCCTGGCTGTGAACACACCTGGCGCAGGTGGCTGGGGCAGCTGCAGTGCCTGATGCAAGCTGAGCTCTAGGTGGGAGCCCCAGACAAGAGCTCATGAACGGCCAACAGAGCCCAACAAAGGGCACCAAGAGTGGTGGCACTGCTGGGGAAGGGGCACTGAGAGACCCAGCAGGAGCTGAGGGCCCGGGAGGAAGAGCCAGACTCAAGCCTTGGGCATGCAGACTGTGAGGGGATAAAACTGAGGGGCTTGGAGGAACAGCTCAGGCTGCTGGAGGAACAGCTCAAGCTGTTCCTGTGTCACTGCACTGGGATTAAATGGCTTTATGGAATCAGACAGCTGAGGCTGCTCTGGGAAACCTGGGCTGGAACCAGGGAGGACACAGGGGCTGGGTGTGGGGAGTCCAGCAGGGCCCACTGGGGCCCTGCAGCCCCTGCTCTGTAGGGGCTCCAGTCCCAGCACTGAACACCTCTGGTGGCTGGAGTGTGATGGCCAGAGAGCCTTGGGAAGGGTCAGACTGGGAAGTTTCCTAAATATCCTCTTCTGCACAGCAAGCTGCAGAAAGCAGGGCCCTGCTGACCCTTCCAACAAAGATGCCTGTCCCTCCTGAGCACACCCATCAGAGCAGCAAGGATGAGGTGAAGGCAGAAACAGGGACTGCTCAGGAGTGAGGAAAGGTCTGCTCAGGGGACAGCTCGCTGCTGTGCTCTGCTCTCCCTCTCCTTGCACTCCATTTCCCAGGGGGCTGTCTGCTCCTTGTGACTTTCTGTTTGCTTTGGCCGTGTTCCAGAGAAGGCGGAGGACCTGGAGTGAATTAAGGAGCCCCTTGCCAAAGCTGCTGCATGTAAGAAAGCTTTCCTGGTGCTCAAGGGGAGAACAGACCCAGGTGAGGAAAAGAGGGGAGGACTAGAAATAGAGAAATGCCAGCAGGGACCGAAGAGAAGTCACAGCCCCAGGGCCCATGGCTGTCCCACAGGTCGAACTGAAGGCATCAGACGGTAAATGCCAGGGGTGCTTTCCCAGGAATGAACCCTGCTCCATGTCCTCCCACTACATTTTGCTGTTTTGCTCTGGTCTGAAAGGAGGGAAAGCATATAAATGGCAAAAAATGCTCAGAGTTTGAGGGATTTTCTCCTGAAAGCAGAGCAATAGCGAGATGGCTTCTCAAACAGTAACAATGAATACTGTGCACATGGAGGTGTCCTGGATGTGCCTCTGCCATTGATCACTGATGAGCACAGATAGTAGCTCAGATCACATATGGAAAGATGGTTGTGCTTCCAGGGATGGGTCACCCCACTTCTCACAGTCAGACACACATTGTCCTCTCTGTCTCTCATATTTGGAAGGAGCCCTGACAACTGCTTTAGACAGGAAAATTATTTTGTGCAGGCCCAGATCTGCACTCTTGAGCCAAAGCTGAAGCTTTGAGGGGGAAAACAAAAAGGAAGGGGGAAAGACAGGAGAAGGGAGGAGAAGAAAAAAAGAAAAGGGGGTGGGGGAGGCAGGGGTAAGAGAAGGGAAAAAAAAAAAGAAATAAAAGAAACAAAAAAGAAGAAACTCTCTCTGCCACATTGTCAGTGATGGCTTTGTTGCCCAGAGACCAAGAGAGTCTGGTCTGTCAACAGATGTCCAATAAATTAGACATTTTGAATTATGCATTGAGTGCAATAAAACATTATTACCAGCATGTGAGTTAAATGCAGGAGGATTGTATGAGTGGTGGTGAAATCTCATTATGCTTTTTCTTGGGTGCTAAGGTGAGCTAATAATATTAAATATAAAAATTAAAATAAGTTCTAGTCGCTCCATGAAATAATTATTCATTCTATATTCAGACTAAAAATTTTTCCGATCAGCCAAGATCAAAGAAACAAACAATTATCCATAGCGTATTCATGGCAACCAGGCTGTGCCTAATCAATATGCTACTTACTTTTAACTTTTTTCCCATTTAATGTGTAGCAAGAGTCATGGTAACAATTTTTGCTATCAGACAAAAAACCCATGAAATAAATAAGTAAAGCCTGAATTGACCATTTTTTCTCTATATAGGAATGAATTAGGAACTGGGTTAGTGTCAGTAGACTGTGGGCAGGAAGGGACAATCGACTTTGAATAGGAATTCTATGAAATATTAACTTTGTGGTCTCCCTCCAACCCTTCCTGACTGGTCCCCCACCCTCTGCAGCACAGCTGGGCCTTGACGAGGCAAACACACTGAAAGCCCTGGGGCCCTGGAGGGCAGCAGGGCTCCTTCAGGCCTCAGCAATGCCCAGTGAAGGCCCCAGGATGGTCCAGGGAGCTTTTCCCACTCAATCCCCTGTGGCAGAACTGGACTCAGCACGTGAGGGCTCTCAGCAGTGCCCAGCCCAGGGATGGTCACTGCCCGGGAAGCCTTGAGAGGAGGGGGTGGCACTGCTGTGCATGGCCAACAGTGATTGCACTGGCCTTGCCCACAGGGGCGGCTGCAGACTGTGCAGATTGCTCTGCTGCAGACAGCTCTGTTTGGGCAGGGTCATGCTTCTGTTGTTGCAGACACTGATATTCTTTAGGGAATTCCACCAGGACTGAAGGACAGCTGGAGGAGGATTGCCACCCCAGGGACCTCCAGGGCAGTGGTTCCTGAGTGCCTCAGCCCCCTGTGGCTGGGCAGGTGTGGTGTCAATGTGCTGGGCAGGTATCAGCCCTTCCCCTGGCTGGGCTCCTGCCCACACAGCCGCGGGTGCTGCTGCCTTGCTTGGCTGCTGGCCCGTGTGCTCCACGTCCCAAGCGCTGCCTTTTCACCCTGGAGCTCGCTCAGTTCAGCTGAGAGCCTCAGGAGAGGAGTGCTTTACTCCTGGCTCCTGGAGAGACCATTCCTGCCCTCAGAAGAGGCTGCCCTGGAAAGCTCGGCACATTTCCTGATAGGCATTTACGGGAAATCAGTGTCAAACGGAGAAAGGACGTGCTAGGAGGGAGGGAGGAGCCCGTGGGGGTGGGAACCCTCCGCAGCTGCTGGTTCAGCCCATCAAAGCCTTCTCTTCTGGAGCCCGAGCTGTGCCGGCCTCAGTCCCTGCCCCTCGGTGCCTGGACCCCGCTATTTCCCGGCTGTGACAGCCCAGGCTGGCACTGAGGAGCTCATCCCTGGCCCGCCCTTCCCTGTGGGGAAGGAGCAGCTCCCCGTGAGCACCCCCCATTCACGCACCAGGCAGCTCTGGTGAGCCATCGCTCCCAGATCCCCGTGCTGCTGGAGCCCTTTGCTTTGCCTGGCCATGGATGCCAGGGCAGCTGCCATTCCCATGGGAACCTGCTCACTGGCCTGCAGACCCTGCAGGCTGCCCCCAGAGCTCTTCTGCCCACTCTCCCTGATGATCAGGGAGTTTCTGAGCTGCCAAGGCAGGGTCCCCCCTTTCTGACCCCTCCACTGCTCACTCACAGAAGTCAACTTAACCTCTGCCCATCCTGTTGAGGATGTCCAGGTATCCCAGCTGCTCTTCACACCTCCCATCCTCATCCTCCCTGACCCTCCTCTGGCAGAGTCTCTCCCACTGCATTCCACCAGCACTCAGGCACAGCCTTCCAAACCATCCAGGGATGGGTTTGGCTCTGAACAAAAATGATGTAGGCAGCTTCTGAGAGCAAAACAAGCAATTTTGGGTTCTCAGGGGTTCAGAAACTCTCACTCAGGAGCATTTGGACTAGGAAACTGCAAGTTTGGGAGCTCTGGGGTCCCAAACACTGATTTAGAAAGATTTTGGGCTCTGAACAAGCCGCAACTTTAGGCAGCATTGGGGTTGAGAAACACCAATTTAGGGAGCATTTGGTTCAAAACCACTGATTGGGGGGAACTTTTGGCCCCAGAAAGTCCCCTCTAGGCAGCTTTTCAGCTCATAATTCCAATTTAGGGAGCTCTTGGGCTCAGAAGCACATGTTTAAGGAACTGCAGTACTCAAAAAGGGATCTCAGGAAGCTTTGTGGGTCAGGAAATGCAACTTGGGGAGCTTCAGGGCTCAGGAACACCAATTTAATGAGCTTTGGGGCTCAGAAAAATCAGTGTCCAGAGACATGGGGCACAAAAGCAGCAATTTAGGATACTTTGGGGCTCAGCAATACCATTTCAAGGCGCTTCTGGCCTCAAAAATGGGCCTCAAAAATTTGGGGAACTTCACAGCTAATAATACTGAAATTTCAGAAGCATTGAGGCTCAGAAACAGCTGCCTGGGGACTTTTTTGGACCTGAAACAGCATTTGGGCTCAGAAATACGGATTTAGGGAACACTAGAGCTCTTAAAGACCAATTTAGGGACACACAGGCCTATGAAACCCTGATTTGGGGAGTTCAAGGCTGAGAAAAAATCATGTTGGGAGCTTTGGGAATCAGGAAGAGTGATTTGGGGATATTTTCAGAGCAAAAAAGAACAATTTACAGAGCTTTTGGGCTCCAAAAAACCAATTTAAGCTGATTTTGGGCTCTGTAGTCCCTATTTAGGCAGCTTTGGAGCTCCAAAACAGCGATTTACGGAACTTTTGGGCTGAGAAACATCAATTTTGGGAGCAGAAGGAGCAAGCCCCGAGGAAACACGGGAGCAAGGGGCAGGCACTTACCTGGGACAGGTCTGGGAAGGAGCCGCTCCGCGCTGGCGTGCGAGCACTGCTTAAAAACCGGGATAGATACAGCTCACTAGCTCACTGTGCCCGACCCGTTCCCACCCCAGTAAAACCTTTCTCGTCTTTATGCTGATTTCCCTGGAAACTGAAAGTGGAAATGCTCGATCAGGGAGCGGCTCCTTGGCTGGGGGAGGGAAATGGGCGCAGCCAGCGGCCCCTCCCGGCTCCTGGAGCCTCCCAGGGCACCGGGAATGGCCCAGGAGGGCACCGGCAGGGCACCGCGAGCGCTGGGATGAACCCCGCGGGCTGAAGGCACACCGGGCACAGGGCTTGAGTTAGGGGCGTCAGGGTCCTGGAACACTGATATTGGGAACTTCGTGGCTTAGAAACCCCTGTGTCAGCAGCTTCGGGGCCAGAACGGTGAGTGCAGGAGCTTTGGGGCTGAGAATGAGCAATTCTGGGGGCTTTGGGGCTCCAGAACACTGATTTTGGGAGGGTTTTTTGGCTCGGAAAATAAAAAAAAAAGGGGAGCTCAGAGTCTCAAAGCAGTTTAGGGATATTTTGAGCTCACAAACAGCTGTTTGGGGAGATTTTGGGCTCAGAAACAGCCATTTAAGGATATTTTGGTGTCTGAAACACCAATTTAGGGAGCTGAGAAACACTCTTTTAAGGAGGATTTGGGCTCATAAATATAAAACTAAAGAGTTTTTGATCGTCCAAATCAAAAACCTATTTGGGGAGGGCTGGAATACAAGTATGGGGAGGCCTGACAGACTGACTGTACCCCAAAGCCACCAGGGCAAGTGCTGTGTGCCTGTGGTGGTGAGAACAACGGCTGGATGACTGCAGACATACCACATATATTACCATATATATAACCATATCATATATTTAGTTTATAAACTAAAAACATTCCTGATGGCAGCCACATTCCTGGATTTAGAAAGGCTCCCAGAAGTGTAATTGTACCAAAAGGTTTGATTCCTATGCACAGGGTGATAGGGAGAAACATTTTAAAAGTTTTGGGCCAATTCCTTCCCATGTATTTAAAATTAACACAAAAATCTAATTTCACAGAACCCAGGAACTCATCAGAACACTGAGCGGTGGGTGATGGGACAATAACATCCTGCTACAACTGATGTTATTCTTGCATCAAGAAGAAAATGAAATTAAGTCATGTATACTGAAATGTTTCTCATTTTGAGAAATCACCTTGGATAGCAAAAGGATTGTGGTATTAATATAGCACCTTCAGATCCTTTCGTTTAGGCTTTGGATAAGGAAAATAAAGAGAAAAATATTAAATGTTGTTGTTATATGTGTAGCATGACACACATCTGCTCTAAGCATTTAGAGTATCAAGAGAAAGGAGGTTTAAATGCAGTTGCAAAGCGCAGTGCACAGAGGACTAAGAAGGCTGGCTGCAGGCACAGATAAGAAAGCAATAAAGGTAAAAGGAAGTTCAGGAGGAAGGTAAAAGTTGTCTGGCTCTTATTTGCATAGCATAGTCCTTGATAATTGAATAAAACTACAAGAAATCTGGGAAACAGGTTCTTTTGATATGGGTAAACTACTTGACATTGCACGGGCAGTACATACAAATCAAAGGGAAACCAGCTAGAAGTGACTAAATAGAAAATAATACCAGGTGAAGAAAAAGGATGTAGGATTGACGGGGGTAGGACGGTCGGGACAGACGGAGACGAGAGATCTCTGCAGCCAGGTCATGGAACTTGTGGTTTATTGCAAAGGGCCTGGGTGCAGGGACCTTTTGGGATTTGGGGTTTATTGCAAAGAGCCTGGGTGCAGGGCCCTGCTGGGATTTGGGGTTTATTGCAAAGGGCCTGGGTGCAGGGACCTTTTGGGATTTGGGGTTTATTGCAAAGGGCCTGGGTGCAGGGCCCTGCTGGGATTTGGGGTTTATTGCAAAGGGCCTGGGTGCAGGGACCTTTTGGGATTTGGGGTTTATTGCAAAGGGCCTGGGTGCAGGGACCTTTTGGGATTTGGGGTTTATTGCAAAGGGCCTGGGTGCAGGGCCCTGCTGGGATTTGGGGTTTATTGCAAAGGGCCTGGGTGCAGGGCCCTGCTGGGAGCTGCAGCCACAGCTGGAGCAGGCCCGAGAGAAGAGAGGGGTAGAGAGGATGAGAGGGTGAGAGAGTAAAAGCATAAGAGAGTAAAAGGGGTAAGAGCATCAAAGGCAAGAGCTAAGAGACAAGAGGTAAGAGCTAAGACAGGGAAGTTCCCGTTACAATATGTCAAGGTTTGACACTGGCACAAGGCCAAATGCCCCCATGAAAATACACTTTCTCTAGTGTCTGCTGTGAGATTTTGACCGAGAATAAACAAAGCAGGCTCTCGCTTGAAAAAAAAAAGCAAAGTTTATTAACTAAACTACAAAAACAATTACTAAACTACGCACAAAAGAAAAAAAAAAAACCACAAGGAAAATGAAAACCTCACAAAAACACTCTCCTCCTCCTCCCCCCTAGATTCCCAATACAATACATCTTCCAAAGTCACCAATTCTGGGTCCAGCACCACCCTTTAGAATGCTCAACTTTCAGTTCCTCAAGAGGAGAGGGAGTCCTTCCATGTGTCATGGTGGCCTTTTCCGTCCTTGTTCCGGTGCTCTCACCACCGAACAAGAATCAGGGCTGCTTCCAGGGTTGTCTTTTTAAGGATGCTGTGTCCAGTTCCAGAAAAGCTCAGTCTTTCACCTCTGGGACATCTGTCCCCCCCATATTTTATATACCTCCTGGGGCCAAGGGGTACCCACACTGAATCTTCTTTGGCTCTGGGACATTTCTCCCCCTGGACTCAGTCTCTGTATCACACGGAAACATGGCTCTGTCCATGGCTACACAAAAGAGTCCAGCATAAAATGCCACTCCCTCTTCTCCATTCTTCCAACATCTCTCACTCTCTCTCTCTCTGGTCCAGACCTTCATCACTCGTCTAGGAAGGGTTAATGTTCTGTGAAGTTTTCATTGTCCAAAAAGGGTTAAAAACTCCTCCAAGCGGCTGGACTCCTGACTGCACCCCCTCCCCCCCATGTCCTCAGCCGGGCTGCCTGCTGCCAGCGCATGTTTACTAAATTTCAAGGTAACGGCCACAAACACAGGCTGCACTCTCTCTCTGTCTGTCTCCAAGGGTGGGGGGAGGAACAGGCTGCCCATTGCTTCCCGGCATTTCTTTACTTCTTCCTTCCACCCTTGGGGGGGCCAGGCCTACCTCTCCTGGGCCGGGCCGCATGGCTTTTCCCCTCCCCCAGCCCAGCCAGCAACTGGGCCAGGGGAGAGACCCAACTGCTTCCCGCCGGAAATCCAAAGAGGAATTGCCAGGGGGAGAGCCCTGCTTTTACCCTGTGTTCTCAGAGGTGGATCCAATGCCCAGTGGTTGGGCCAGATGGCAATATTCAAATCTGAGCACTCATTGGCCCTATCTACAGCATCCCAGAAATCCTGTTTCCGGGTCAAACCATGACAGGCGCCCAGAACTGGACACAGCACTCAAGATGCTGCCCAAGCAGTGCTGAGCACAGGGGAAGAATCCCTGCCCTGCTCCTGCTGGCCACACCATTCCTGAGCCAGGCCAGGAGCCATTGGCCTTCTTGCCCACCTGGGCACACTGCTGCCTCATGTCCAGCCTGCTGTCCATCAGTCCCTGTAGGTCCCTTTCTGCCTGGCTGCTCTCCAGCCACTCTGTCTCCAGCCTGTAGTGCTGCAGGGGTTGTTGCAGCCAAAGTGCAGGACCTAGCACTTGGACTTGTTAAACCTCAGCTTGTTGGATTTGGGCCCTGGATCCAGCCTGTCCAGGGCCCTGTGCAGAGCCTTCCTACCCTCCAGCAGATCCACACGCACACTCAGCTTGGTGTCATCTGCAAATTTGCTGATGCTGGACTCAGTCCCCTCATGCAGATCATCAGTGCAGACATTGAAATCCGCACTGGCTGGCTCTGACCCCTCGGCCGTTCTCTGGGTGCCCTGTGATGGCACTCAAGGTGATCTGTTCCATAACATTGCCGGGCACCCAGGTCAGGCTGACAGGCCTGGAGTTCCCCAGCTCCTTCTTCCAGCCCTTCTTGGGGATGGGCTCACACTGGAACCTCCAGTGCTCTGGGACCTCCCTGCTGAGCCAGGACTGATGGTAAATGATGGAGAGCAGCTTGGGGAGCTCCCTCATCTCCCTGGGATGGATCCCATACACCTGTGAGCATCAGAGTGGCTCAGCAGGTCACCAAATGCTTCCTCCTGGATTACAGGGGGCTGTTCTGATCCTTGTGCCCATTTATCAGCTCAGGTGAGCACTTGTCCTGAGGACAAGCTGTCTTCTTTTTGAAAATTGAGACAAACAAGGTGTAAAGTAGCTTAGTTCTTTCCTTTTCTTTAGTTACTTTAGTTCTCTGTGTAGGAGCTGAGCTTGTGACCCCTTTATCTTTAGTTATATTCTCCACTGCATCCAGTAAAGAATCCTTTTCCCTGCTTTTGCTATAAATTTTTTTATAAAAACACTTCTTTTTTTAATTTACAGAAGCAGCCAGTTAAGTTCTAATTAAGCTTTCACCTCTCTAATTTTCTTTCTGCATAGCCTAACAATATCCTTAAACACTTCCTGTGTTGCCAGTCCTTTGTTCTTCTAGTTTCCACAAAAGCTGCATGGGCAACCAGGAAAGTAATTTTCCTCATTAGCTCATGTTTTGGCATGCTGGGACTGGCTGCTCCTTCCCCGTTAAGATTACTTTCTGGAAATGTGTTCATCCTTCCTAGACCCCTTACTTTTTAAGGGGTCCCTTAAAAAAATCAGTACCTGATTTGGTACTCCCCAAATCAGAATCCTAAGTAGGCCAAAGTCTGCCCTTCCTAATTCCAGTGCAGAAGTTTTGTTGCTGCCCCTCCTTCTTTCACAGAACATTGACCACTTGATTATTTCATGGTCACTGTGCCCCAGGCAGCCTCTGAGCCCCACATCTACCACCAACCCTTCTCTGTTTGTGAACAGCAGGAGACAGAGCTTTCCTTGGCAGTGGGAGGACTGTTACCAAAAATTCAGTGAAACAGAAAACTCCTTAACCCCAATGTAGCATTAAGAA